GCACTTGTAGGGCTTCTCGCCCGTGTGCAGCCGGAGGTGCTCGCGCAGGTTGCTCTGCTGTCGGAAGTCCTTGCCGCAGTAGGGACAGGCGTAAGGACGCTCCCCCGTGTGCAGGCGCATGTGGTTGCGCAAGGAGCCGGGGTTGGCCAGATGGCGGCCACATATGGCACACTGGCATCCCTTGGGACCAGCTGGGCCAGTCCCAGTGGCCAGGTGGATCTTCCTGTGAATGCGGAGAGAGGGCCGGCGTGCAAAGGCCTTGCCACACTGCTCACAGGAGAAGGGGCGCTGGCCGGTGTGCAGGACCTGGTGCTCCTGCAAGTCTCGCTTGGTGCGGTAAGCCTTGTCGCACTGGGTGCACTGGAAAGGCCGCACACCCCGGTGGGCCAACACGTGGGCCTTGAAGCTCTCCTCTGAACTATAGCTCTTGCCACACTCCGTGCACAGGAAGGGCTTGTGGCCAGCATGGACAAAGCAGTGCTTCTTGAGGTGACAGAGCTGCAGGAAGGCTTTACCGCACTCCCCGCAGCGGTACCTGCGCTTGATCATCTCCTTCTGGGACAGAGCTTTCGGTGGGGGGCCTGGGCTGCCCCCCACCAGCTCTATATACTCCTGCCCTTCAGGGCTCTCCAGTGGGCCCCTTTTCCCATGCTCTGGGGATGCCAGTCTGGAGTCTTTGGAAGCTTTGCTCTTTTTCTCACAAGTCTCTAGACTCTCTCCTTCAGAAGGACTGGGCTGCTGGGATTCCTGCCCAGCTGTCCTGCCACTACAGTCCTGCAGGCACTTCTGGAGCTGGCTGGCCAGAGCATGCACCTTGCATGGCTTGCCAACCAAGCCAGCACTAAGTTGAACCCTGCTTGAGGGCGACAACAGATCCAGGTCTCCTGGACATGCCTCTTTATGCCCCATCTCCACTTTTTCTGCTGCAGGTCCAGGATCCACACCCTCATCCAATTCTTCCTTGCACCTGCACCTAATGGTTGAGATGGTCTCGAGGTGCTGATTCTCAGTCCTCAGCACCTCGGCTTGCCACGGCTCGTGTTCGGAAGTTGTGCTTTGTTCGGAAGTTGTGCTTTCCTCTTCTTGCAGCCTGTGGTAATGTTTGGCGGCCGGCCTGCTCACCTCAGTAGGGACATCAAGGACTGTGGTTTCATCAGCTACCACCTTGGAGACATCGGGATCCCCTGCACAAACACAAAAGCATGGCAGGTGAATTAACGCTGGCTGTTGTTGTATGACATGACTGCTGCTGGATCAGAGGAACATGAACCTTGGAGCCAGATACTCTGCTACCCAGTAATCCTGGGCCTCTGGCACGAAAACCATTACTTTTACGACTTTTTCTTTTAAGCTGGGGAAGACGGGGGGAATCTCAGTTCTCTCACCACAGACAGTACCCATGCAGCATTTCTAGTGTTTCACAGGCAGTATTTTTAGGAGATACTGTCACGACTGGCATAAAACAGGGCGG